GGATCACAAGTTTAAGACTCAAAATAAAAAGTGAAAATGGCTGCAGATACAGCTCAGAGGTAGAGCATCTCTGGGTTTGCTCCCCAGTACAAGAAAAGCAGGCCCGATGTGATGGTGCACACCTGTATTCCCAGTACCTGGGAGGGTGAGGCAGGAGGATCACTGCAAGTTCAAGGCCAGCCTGGGCTATACAGTGAAGAAGGCCAGCCTGCACTGCATAGCAAGATCCTGACTCAAAAAAAAAAAAAAAAAAAAAGAAACAATAACGCTTTGTGAGGTTATGGGAAATTTTGAGTAGACACAAAATAATTAGTGGGGATGCAGCTGTAGCTCAATGGTGAGCGCTTGCCCAGCACACACGTGGCCCTGGGATCTAGCCGCAGCACTGCTCCCCAAAGGTGACACCCTGATTTCTCAGATAAATGGCCTTAACCTTCTGAGACCAAGTATCTTCAAGTGTTTCCTGTACATTCACCTTGGACAGTTCCTCTCAGCCCTGCTCTTAAATCCTCTTCTTTCTCCAACCAAAAGATCAAGCGTGGCTCAGGGAGCTCAGGTCCTGCACATAGAGCAAGGGGCACTGACAGAAGGAGCTCCGGCAAGAGGCTGCGGGCCTGCGCCTGGGCAGTCTGGGAATGTGAGGCAGGGATGTTATTCCAGGAGGGCTCCCACTGCGGGCAGCACTTAATGAGCCCTGAAGCCCAGATTAATCATTTTGTACACAATTACTAAGTACTAATAGTTTCAGTCACTTAGGGAGTGAAGTGAGATGAGACCTTTGTTTCTCCTGCTCCCCTTCCTGTGTGTGTGTGTGTGTGCGCGCGCGCGCGCGCGCCTTTCTCTTCCCCTCAACAGAATCTCACTACATAGTTCTGGCTTTGAACTCGTGATCTTCCCCTCAGCTTCCCCAGTGCTGGGATGGAAGGTGTGCACTCCCAGGCCAGCTCATGACCATACAGAGAAAAATACACCAATGAATGTGAAAGATACCAAGGCCAGGGAGATGGCTCAGTGGAATAAACGCTTCCCTGGCAAGTGCAAGGGCCTGAGTTCAATCCCTGGTTTTGCAGAAAAATTAAAAAAAAAAAAAATTGGGGTTGGGGAGATGGCTCAGTAGAATAAGCACTTCCCTGGCAAGCACAAGGGTCCGAGTTCAATCCCTGGTTCCACGAAAAAAACAATAAAATGAAAAAAAAGACAGCAGATTTTTCTAAATGGCTTGTTAAACCACACATTACAGCCTCCAACCTGACTCAGTATGTCAAAATTGTTGACTGAAGATTTAAACATCTAGGGGAAGGGCCAGGGAAATGGCTCAGTGGAATAAGCACTTCCCTGGGAAGTGCAAGGGAATGAGTTCAATCCCCGATTTGGGAAAAAAATATCTAGGGGAGTAGTGATGACGTTCTTGATTTTTCTTTTCCAATACTGGGGGTTGAACCCAGGGTCTCTGAACTGAGCTGTATCCCCAGCTCCCCCCTCCAACTTTTTTTAAATTTTGAGACAAGATCTTGGTAAGTTACTAAATTGCCCAGGGTCCTCCTGCCTCAGCCTTCCTGAGTGCTGCGATTACACGCTGCATCACCACACCCACGTGATGCTGTTGCTCTTGGAACACACTGTAGGGTGGAGGGGGTAGGATGGTCCATTTTTGGTGCTAGGAATTGAGCTCAGGGCTTTGTGCTTGCTAGGCAGGTTCTGCTGAGCTACATGCCTGGGCCTTGGACCACATTTTGAAAAGCATTACAAGTAGATTAAAAGACATTAGAACATAGACTGTGTGTCTGCTATTTCCCAGTGGATTCAGAGTCCACGTCACCCAGGCTGGGACCCAGGAAGTGTGCAGCATCCATCTCCTCCCCATGAGGCCACAGGCACGGTGGTGCTCTTACCCACGGAGGCCAGGTTCTCGTAGTTCTCCAACATCACCTCTCTGTAAAGGTCTCTGTGACCCCGATCCAGTAAGGCCCACTCCTCCTGGGTGAAGTCCACGGTCACATCCTCAAAGGTCACCCAGTCCTGAATCACCACACATAGGCCAGCCTGAGTACCAAGTCACGGCAGTGACCTCCATCAACATGAACCAGAGATGAGGGGGGTGAGGCTGAGGCTCACACTGGACTCTGAGGGCCTCCACTGCCCTCGCAGGGCCCCGCGGTCCTAGGGACCTTTCCTCTACCCACATCTGCTCACTGTCCACGTCCTGCCATCAAGGGGCTGCAAAGCCCTTCTGAGCAAATTGCTTTCCCCACAGCTAGACCGGGAGCTTTTTTTCATCTCCCTCCCTCCATTTTTGTTTTTCTGAGACAGTCTCACTATGCAATTCAAGCTTTCAACTATGTACCCCAGGCTGGCCTCAAACTCGTGGTGTCGTGGTGACCCTCCTGTCTCAGCCTTGCTAGTCTTATGATTACAGGTATGTGTGACCTTGCCTGGTTTGCCTTTTTTTTTTTTTTTTGCAGAACCAGGGATTGAACTCGGGCCCTTGCGCTTGCCAGGGAAGCGCTTATTCCACTGAGCCATCTCCCCAGCCCCCTGCCTTTCCTCTTTTAAAGTGCAGTGGTACCTCAGTTTATATACTTAGTTTTATTTTGTTTTTGTTTTTACGTATTTCAGTATAGGGACTATAGGGTCTCACTACACAGATTGGACTTGTAGGCATCTTCCTGTTTTCAGCCTCCCAAGTGCTACGACAACAGGCTCCCACCACTGTGTCCAGCCTTGATGGCTACCTCAATGCACCCCAGGGGTGGGGCGGGCACAGCATGCAGAGGACTGAATCCAGGTCCCTGCGCCTGTCTGAGGAGCTTTAGATGGCTGAGCTATTTGGCCAACTCTCTTAATTTGTTCTTTGATTTTGGAGATCACTGTGTTTGTGAGGGGAAGATACCTGTGGTTGTGTTTACCACCTGACTTGGGTTTGTGAACAGAAACAAAATTTTGCTGAACACGTTTGTTTGTGAAACAGACTGTTTGCAAACAGAAGCAATCATGAGCCGAAGCATTGCTGTACACTCCTGAGACACTGGATATACCCCCCCCCCCAGTGGTGAACGGAAAGTCTTTAGCAGATGGCACTTCCTTCTTCCTTATAACTTCTCAGAGCAAACATGCATGCACTGGGACCAAGAAGGCTGAGATTGCTCAGTAGTTACTAAATAACCATGGTGTTTGTTTTTCTCTTATTTGGGACAGGGTCTACAGGGTCTCACTACGTAGATCAGACTCGCAGTGATTCTCCTGTTTTCATCCTCCCACCTCCCAAGCACTAGGATTACAGCACAAGCCACCATGCCCAGTCTCCACCTGGTCTCGGCACGCCCCAGGGGCAGGGCTGGCACAGCACACCTGGGATCGAACCCTGGCCCCTGCGCTCTGCCTAAGTGGGTACTTTAGTCCGCTGAGCGATCTGGCCGGCCCTCCTTGGTGATTTTCAAGGCAACACTTTGCTAACATAAAAGGCTCTGCTCTCTGGAGAAAATCCTCAGAGGATTCCACCTTCAAGTGCAGCTCTGTAGAGTAAGAAACTGCAGAATCAACTCTGAATGGAATCCCCATGTCTCCTTGGGGGAGCGAGTCTGTCCTCATGGGGGAAGGCAGTGTCCACATACCTGGTAATAGGTTCTGGGGTGGTCAGTCAGCATCCTTGATGGCTCTGTCTTTTCTTCAGGAAGGCAGACTGGGTCCCTAGAAAGAAGACCTGGAGAAGAGAGGACACGAGCATCCAGAGTGTCTGCATTCCCCATGCTGGCTGGCGTGGGAGAGCCATGCCATCATGGTCCCCATTCTCCACACAACTCAACATACCCAGACACACACAACCATGGCCACACAGTGCCAGAGCAGTCCTGCCACAGAGCCAGACGTGATGGAGAACAGGTAGTTGTGCCCTAAATTCGGATCGCCCACGGTTGCTGTTCCACTCCACAGTGATCAGAAACCGGTCTCTACCCACAGTCTCTCACGGGGCAGGCACCCTACAGATGCTTTTCATCATTCTCTAGGAAGCTAGTAGCACAGAAGAAAATTTTTATTTTAGAAAATTATATATTTAAAATTTAGCATTTCAGTTCATGGAAAATTCTGTTCATGGGCATAACAACTTGATGTGGCTTAGACACAGAATGCCACCCCCACCCCCACCCTGAGCTTCACATGTTCAGAGGGGGACTTTGGGGATGTGACTGGCTCATGCATCAGTGGAGCACAATGTGCTGTTAGGCTAATGGAAGAGGCAGCGACAGTGGGGAGGCCCGGAAGTGCCTGCCGTCTTCCCAGCTCTCTACCTCTCCTTCCTCACCACCACGACACCACCAGCAGCTTTCACCTGACCAGGCCTGCCCTCCGCACTGTTTCCGCATTGACGCCCAGGCCTGGAATGGTGAACCACAATAAACTCCACCTCCTCAGGCCTGCAGGTGTCGGGGATTTTGTCTCTGTGACAAAACAGTGAACTCAGAAACCTGGATATGAGTATTTGATGAGGTTAATTTTGTCTCTGTGTGTGGTGCCAGGAGTTGAACCAGGGCATGTGCATGCTAAAAATGTCCTCTGCTAATAAACTATATCCTGGCCATTTTTTAAAACTTTATTTTGGGGGCCAGGGAAATGGTTCAGTAGAATAAATGCTTGCCTGGCAAGCACAGGGGCCCAAGTTCAATCCCTGGTTCCACCAAAAAAACCCCTTTATTTTGGGTTTATTATTATTATTCTGTATTTAGTACAGGGCCTACAGGATCTCACTATACAGATCAGACTCTAGTGACCCTATTTTCAGCCTCCCAAGCGCTGGGAGTACAGGCGCGCACCACCACGCTGTCTCAATCGCCATTTCAGTGAGCCCTGGGGGCGGGGCCAGCATGGCACACTGGGCATTGAACCCCAGTGTGAGTGCCTAAGCAAGTGCTTTAATCTGCTCAGCTATCTGGCCATCCCTTGAAACTTTATTTTGAAGTACTGTCCCACCCCCCAACCCAAAAGAAAAGAAGATAGGGCTGGGGATATGGCTCAGCAGCACAAGTACCTGCCTGGTAAGCACAAGGGCCTGAATTTGATTTCTCATACCACCATCCTCCCACTCCCGCAACAAACCTGAACCTTTATTTTGAACTGGTCTCCCTAAGTGGCCTAGATGGCCTTCAGCTTGTAATCCTCCTGCATCAGCCTCCTGATGAGTAGCTGATTACAGGCAAGTACAACTGCACCTGTTCTGATATAAAGAAAAATTAAGTCCACCTCAAAAAACCTTAATATAAGGGCTTGAGTGTACACTTGATCTTAGCCAAGAGGACGGGAATCGATTAGGGCCCAGGTATAGCTCAGGGGCACAGCACCTGCCTGGCAAGTGCCAGATCCTGAGTGCAATTCCCAGTTCCAAGCCAAAAAAAAAATTTAAAAATATATATATATATAATTAGTATTATCAGTGAATTTTGAAGACTGAATGAAAAAACAAATGTGCTTATCTCCATTTTTTTCTTGGTTACGTGTTCTTGTTATGTAAGGTAAAATAATATACACTATTAAAATGAATTCATTTCTGTCATTTTAGCTGATCGGGCATTCAGCTCCTTCGTCACGTGCATTGCCTGAGTAACACTTGAGTCCTACATCACTGATCTAGGCTGCTGTTCGGCTTTAGGAGTAGAACAGCAACTCTTATCTTTTGGTGACAACCTTGGGCTTCCCTTCCTGGAGGCTTTAAAGGTCCAACAGCCTTGGCACACGCACAAAGGGGCTGTCATTCATACATGTCACTGGCAGGTGGCTCTGCACTGCCGTGGTGGATGGGTGACTGTGCCGCCAGGTGGCGCAAGACAGTCCCACAGGGGTGTAGAGCTGGTGGGACCTCGCTGAAGGAAGGCCAGCAGGGCCAGTCCTACTGCACAGGTGGAGCAGCTTCCCCAAATAGCCTGTTTGTGAAGATATTTTGGCATCAAGAAAGTATTTTGGCATTTTGGGGGGGGGGGCGGGAAAATGGCTCAGTAGAATAAGCGCTTCTCTGGCAAACACAAGGGCCTGAGTTCAATCCTCGGTTCTGCCAAAAAAAAAAAAGAAAGCAAGTCAGTCTGGAGGACCAGGGAGATGGCTCAGCAGAGTAAGTGCTTGCCAAAAAAAAAAGAAAGTCTGGCTGGGGATGACGGCATGCATCTGTAATCCCAGCTACTTTAGCAAAACTCCGCCTCAAAATAAATAAATAAAATTAAAAGAGCTGGGGTAAGACATTTGCTTAGTGTGCAAGGGCCCTGAGTTTAATCCCTGGCTTCACTGGAAAAAGAAAAACGTTACAACATTCCTGCTATATCCTGCTTTCTGTCTCAGCTTGCATCACTCTGACGCACAGCACTTAGTTGCAGCAGGAGCATGCTAGAGGTAAGGCACCTCCTCCAGCTCAGACCTGCCAGTAGATAGCTCAGAGGCATAAGCACCCGGATGTAACCAGGCCACAGCTTCTCTCCTCTGGAAATCCAGTCAAGTCGGATGACCAGATCCTCCCCGCCCTTTCAGCACCACTAACTCCCACAGCTTGCTTTTAGTCCCCAGCTCACAGCTCTTTTTTCACCCCTATCAGTGCCATTCACAGATCAGGTAAAGGCTGAGTAGATAGCTCAGTGGCATAAGCACCTGTCTGGCAAGCACAAGTTCCTGAGTTCAATCCCTGGTAACACCCCCCTTAAAAAAAAAAAAAAAAAAAAAAAAAAATAAAACACAATAGTGTGCACTATATTACATCCCTGGCACTGGGTTATTTTGGTGGAACCAGGCATTGAACTCAGGCCCTTGCGCTTGCCAGGGAAGCGCTTATTCTACTGAGCCATCTCCCCCGTCCCCTTGTTTGTTTTCTGTTCCTTTTTGTGGGTGTTGGGGAATCAAACCCAGAATTTTGCACATGCTAAGCAAGGACTCTGCCACTGGACAGAGCCCTCAGGCTGGACCAGTAAATCTGCCGGGTGTGGTGGCACACACTCAGGAAGCAGGAGAATCACAAGTTCGAGCCCAGTTTGGGCTCTGGGGTGAGACCCTGTCTCAAAATAACAAAAATGAAGAAAGTTGTAAGTATACTTATACACTTGGGCAGCTACTTTCTTCTGCCTTTCGGTTACGATATCCTCAGACTCACTCTGTTCCTCTCCTAGCCCAGCTGAAGTCCTTGCCTCAATCAACTATTCAAACAGTGTGCCATATTATCCAGTCCATAAAGACATGGAGAAATAACAAGATTCTTGCAAGTTTACCTTCCTAAAAACTCTTAAGTTGGGGAGACAGCGCAGTACACAGCATCTGTCTGGCACGTGCAAGGTCCTGACTTTGATTCCTGATACCAAATAAAATAAAAAACTATTTTTTGGTGAAGGGATTGAATTCCGGACCTTGCACTTGCCAGGTAGGTGCTCATGCTGCTGATCTTTATCTCTGGTCCCCAAAGTAAAAACTCTTGGATAGCAAGATGGGATGACACAGACCTGTAGTTCCAGCTACTCACGAGCTGAGGCAAAAGGGTCAACTGAACACAGGTCAAAGTCAGCCTTGGCAACCTAAGGAGACTCTACCTCAAATAAAAAACATAAAAACAACTTGTAAATAATTTCTTTTCATAGAAACTATCTTAAGTCTGGGCTACTACAAGCATGTTTTACTTATTATTTATTTTTTTGTATTTAAGGGAAGGATCTACAGGGTGTTCAGGGTCTCACTACTAGATCGGACTTGTAGTGATCCGCCTGTTTACAGCCTCCCAAGAGCTGGGGTTACAGGCGCGCACCACCACGCCCGGTCTCAATTGCTGTGTCAGCACGCCACCGGCACAGCAGGCCCGGGATTAAACACCTGGCTCCTGTGCCTGCTTGCAGGCACTTACATCCACTGAGCTATTTGGCTGCCCTTACAAGCAAGTCTTAAAACACAATTTTAAAGTGCAAGGTCCTGAGTTTAATCCCCAGTACTGCAAACAAAACAAAACAGAACAAAAACCCATGATTTTAAAATATTTCACTGGGTAGGATGATGCACACCTGTCATCCTAGGACTCAGGATGCTGAGGCAGAAGGATCGCTGTTGAGAGGCCAGCCTGAGATCCATAGGAAACCCTGTCTCAAGAAACAAAATGCAACGGTTCCATCTAAAGCTGCTATCTCCATCTTACGCCTCCACGCTCCCATTTCTTGAATTCCATTCTCTGACCAGGATGTCTGTGAATTCCATTAGTTAGAAACGGACCCAAACAGCTCCCCTGTGTACAGCCCTCCAGGAATTCCCATCCGCACTGCCATGCTCTGGCCCTCAGCAGCGCTCCTGTCCCTTCCCGCCACACTCCAGGGCTCTCTCTCGCTCTGCATGTCACCACCTGTGCGTTCGTCTGTCACAGCCTGCTCACTTTCTTCACAGTGCCAATATTAATTTCACTCAGTATGTGCACCTCCCCCACCCCTTCTCTCTCCATATTTTGAAGGCAAGGCCTTGCTATGCAACCCACGCTGGCCTCGGGTTTGTGATCCTCCTGCCTCAGCCTCCTGAGCGCCGTGGTATTCGGCCATGACACCAAGCTTCTTTAATTTATTTCTGGTGCTGAGGCAGGGCCCTGGGGCCTCACATGTGCTAGGCCAATGCTTGACTACTGAGCCACAGGCTCAGTCCCACAGTGCTTCTTGATAATTCTTACGTCTAAATAACACATTTATTTAAAATCCTCCGAGCCCGGTGTAGTGATGAATGCACATAACCCCAGCATTCAGGAGGCTGAGGCAGGAGGACCACCATGACTTTGAGGCCAGCCTGGGCTACAGTCAGCCTAAAATACGTAACAAGAGCCTATTCCAAAAAAATAAAAAATAAAACAAAAAATCCTGAGAAGTAAAATAAAATCATCCTCCCTAGTAAGCCTGTCGGCCTCATGGCGGCAGTACTGTCTATTCTGACGGTTACTGTTTTCCTGCCTGTGGCAGAGCTGTTTGTCAACATGTTCCTGCCAGTTTGAGTTGGCTTGAACTGCCTGGTGGTACAGACACGACTTGCCCTTCAAGCAGCTCTTACCACCCAGTGTGACTGCCCCATGTCACACTCCTAAGGGACAGTTATTATCACTGGTGGTTCAGTTACCCAGCAGCAAGATGTACAAATTCTGGCCCCCTCATAAATGTGCTAACGGAACTAAATGGTAGCTTGTAGATTGTCTGGGGCTCACAGAATGACGGCCTACTGCCTCGCCATAGAAATGCAAGCGTATACAGAGAAGGCATGCAGGAATCAGCATAAAACTTAACATTCATCCAAACACTTGGCCATAATATGTCAACTTAAGCACTGTGACTTTTTTTCCTTTATATATTTATTACAGGGTCTACAGGGGCTCACTATGTAGACAGGACTCCTAGTGAGCCTCCTGTTTTCAGCCTCCCAAGTGTTGTGGTAACAGGCGCGCACCACCACGTCATCTCAATCACCATCTCAGCGTGCCCAGTGGCAGGGCCAGAGCACAGCACGCTGGGGATTGAACCCCTGTCCCTGCGCCTGCCTAAAGCAGGCGCTTTGGTCTGCTGAGCTATTTGGCTAGCCTTCAAGCACTGTATTTCTGAAAATCTGAGTATTTTCATTCAGGATAAAAATGGGATTGGATACTGATGCTCTTTATGGAAACATTTAACATTTTGGGGGGCAGGGTTTTGCCAGGTAGTTCAGACTGGTCTTGAACTCAAACGAGGTAGCCTGGGCTGGCCTCAAACTCACAGTGATCTGAAACTCACAGCAATCTGAAATCCACACGATCCTCCTGCCTCAGCCTCCCAAGCAGTAGGATTATAGGCATGTACCATCATACCTTTTTGCAAACAAATTATCTTGTATTTAAACTAATATCCGATTCTTGTGTCTCCCTAGAATAATTTGTAAGCATGTGTACAAAGTGTTGATTCAGAAACTGCCAAAAAATGATCTAAAAATATACTTTTAAAATGATTTTCTGAAACTTCTAGACTTCTAAGAAGTAACAAACTACAGTTCAAAGGTTTATAAAGATACAAGACATAGAGAAAACAATTCAAAAACAAGATGAAAGACAAGTACAGTGGTACACGCTAGAATTCTCAGCTACTTGCAAGGCTGACTACAAATTCAAGGTCAGCCTGGGCAAAACAGTGAGATGCTCTTTCAAAATCAAATAAATAAAAAGGGCTGGGCAGGTAGGCTAGCTTGCCGTAGGCGCAATCCTCCGTATTACCAAAGGGTGACGAAGCGGGATAAGCCCTATGGCTGTGAGGCACACACCTGGGATCCCAGCACTCTCTCGGGATGCTGAAGCAGTTTATAAATTCCAATCTGGCATGGGTAATCTCATATATTACCAAGACCCTGTCTCAAAAATTTAATTTTTTTTTTTGCGGAACTGGGGATTGAACTCGGGCCCTTGCACTTGCCAAGCAAGCGCTTATTCTATTGAGCTATCTTCCCTGGCCCCTCAAAACTTTCAAAAGGACTGGGCACATACCCTAGTGAGAAGGCCACAGGGCCCATCCCCAATAACAAGGGGGATAAAAGTCAGTGCAGCTACACGACCCCATTAGTCTACAAGCCAGTTGCTCTGGAAGCTGAAGAGAAGCACGCTAAGGTAAAGTCCGGCTGGGCAATTTAGAGAGGCCCTGGCTCAAGATTCTTGTTCTGCTCCCTAGAGGCCATGAGGGGGGCTCTTCCTCGAGCGCGGCCCTCTGCTGTGCTGTTTCTTCTCTGGAGCAGCTGACACTGGGCAGACACTGCTCATCCTTGTTGCTGTGGTGTACTAATATGAAGTGCCCCAGATTCTTTATTTACCAGGGGCTGAACTCAGACCTTGCACTTGCCAGACAAGCATTTATGCTGCTGAGCTTCCTCCCCCACCCGGTGCCCCAGATTATTAAAAAACAATCACCTACCAGACTTCTGCACTTACTGTCAGTGTCAGGGTGAGACGGCTGGAGCTTCTGCAGCCATTTTGTGGCCTACTTAGTGAAAGCAATGATAGAAATGAAAAGTCAACATGCAAAGAGGGCTGGAGGCAGCAGAAGAAAAAGAGAAAGACACTGGGACCTTGATGCTTTCATGGAATAGCAGAACCAGCACAATCTGCAGCTAGTGCTTATACTCTTGGATATACAAGAAAAGCAAATCTCTGTTTCGGCCACTGTTAGTTGGGTTTCCTGTTACTGGCAGTTGGTGGCACTGTTAACTAAATACAGAGATAAAAACCAGGGATCCATAAGACCAGGGATAATTTCTGACGTTTACATTTAGGTGTGTGGGGTTTTTTGTTTGTTTTTGCGGTAGCGGGGATTGAACTCAGGACCCTGTGCTTGCCAGGCAGGTGCTTATTCTACTGAGCTATCTCCCTGGCCCTAGGTGTGAGCTCTTAGCGAGTCTTTTTTTTCTTACTTCATCAATGACATGTCTGTGAAACAATAAATTGGCCTTCCGAATTTGTAAATTCTAACTTTGTGAGGTTTTGCAGAATTATGGGGCCAGGAAGATGACTCAGTAGAATAAGCGCTTCCCTGGCAAGCACAAGGGCCTGGGGGGGGGGGGGACCAAAACAGAATTATTGGCACCAATACGCACCTATGCATCAATAACACATCAATGGTACCAAGATGCACACAAACAAACAGCATGCTTTCACTAATCATGTCCTCATAAACTTCCTCAGGGTAGCTTTGTTTTTGTTTTTTTCCAGAACTAGGGATTAAACTCAGGCCCTTCTGCTTGCCAGGCAGACACTTATTCTACTGAGCCATCTCCCCGGCCTTTTACTTTTCTTGTAAAAAAATTTAAAAATCACCAGGCATGGTGGCACATGAGTGTAATCCAGGCACTCAGAGGCTGAGACAGGAGGATCACCAGGAGTTTTGGGTCAGCCTAGGCTACAAGTGGAATACACAGCAAGGCCCTGTTTTGAAACACCAAAATAAATAAATAAAACTTCTAAAATGGGCTAAGAATGGAACTCAATGCAAGACTTTGATTTTAGTCCCCAGGACCACAAAAAACCCAAAAAGAAACACACATCCATTTTCAATGATTTTTTGAATGAAAACACCCAAACCCCATTTTGAAACAACATGGAGAATTTTAGTTTTCTACACAAAATGGATATCCTTTCACACTATTAAACAGTCTCAGTTCAAATAACATGGTTTTCGCAGGACAATGTCCTTTTTCCTTAGGGGAGATGAGACACAGAGGATGGAACCTAGGGCCTCATACATGCCAAGCAGGTGCTCTACCACTGAGTTACACCCACCAGGCAGGTCCTTAAGTTTTAAGAAATGCAAGTCCACACCTGTAGTCCCAGCAGTCAGGAGACTGAAGCTGGAGGATTGCTAGGAGTTTGAGGCCAGTCTGGGCTACCCAGAGTCTGAGGCCAACCTGAGTTTTATGAGATCCCACTCCCCAAGGCCCCCATAAAAGCCACCAGAAAGCAACATTGAATATTTAACAGTGGAACATCATGTCTGCAATTTATGTCCAATGTTCCAACAGTTCACTACAAAATTTATTTGTTCGTTGGGAGCAGGAGGAGAAAAATGCCAAACATAATAGAACCCACCATGCTGGGTAGTCATTGTTACAGTAGGGTGTTCAAATTACCTATAGGCTTAAGAATTTTCAAAAGAAAAATGTGTGAGGAAAAACAACCCGACAGCCCTATTAATGGTGAATTCAATTATTTATAGAGTTGCGGGCTAAGGATATACAGAGGTCAGTGGTAGGGCACCTGCCCAGCACACACCAACCAGGGTAGCTCTTTCTTTCTAGAGGTTCCATGTTTGTTTTGGGGCCAGCGTCTCGCTAACGCGGCTCAGGCTGGCCTTGAGCTCACGATATAAGCCGAGCCGGCCTCTAACGTTCGGCGATCCTCCTCCCTCATGAGGTCCTGGGAGTACCGGACGCCCTTCATGCCCAGCCGGCGGCACCTCAGATAAGGGAGAACAGCTGAGCACTGTTTCGTTTCCCTTAGTAGAAACACTCGACGTCTGCAGCTGTTTATTATTATAGTATGCACACAGAAACACTCCCACCCTGGGACCTAGCAAGTGATCTTTATCTTCTTACCTTACCATCTTGTGGCAAAAATATACGCTTCACACAAAGTGAAGTTGTTTGGCATGAGAACAGTCAGGAGAGCCCCTCTCCGGCCACCTCTCCGCCAGTGCTCACCAGAATGGGCTGGAACTGTCACGTCCTGGAGGCTGGGGGACGCATGCCGGATTCAACGTGATTAGACTCGGGACAATTTTTTTTCCCTTTCTGGAAAAAAATTCAGAAAGGTGTACTGGAAGGCTGTTTTATTTTATTGCTGGGTGGAACCCACGGTCTCATGCACGCTAGATAAGGGTTCTCTACAAGGAGCTGCCCCCGACGCCCTGAGAGGCTTCGCGGGAGGGGAACGGGGGGGGGGTTGCGTAGCAACACTGCCACCCCAGCGTTTCGAGGGGACCCAGGCCTCGAGTGGCCGCTCGGACCGGGCCGGGCTGAGGGGACCCGCGGCTCCGGCAGTCAGACCTGTGCTTTGTCGCCTCCCAGCCGAACTCTGTTTCACGTGAGCATCCCAAAGAAAGAACCCCCGCCCAGAGCAGCCAAGCGAGAGAGCCCTTCGACTAGCGCAGCCCGCAGCGGAAGTGACTAAGGGCGTCATAACGTCACTTCCGGTCGCGGCCAGGGTAGTGGCAGGGGGCGGGGTCCACGGGAGACCCCGGAGGTCCTGCTGCGCGGTTCGGTCCCTACTGGACGGGCAAATTCTGGTTTCTTTTGGTGAACAGGACCTTGGGGCGCTGGAGTCGGACAGAAACTGGCTGAGGAGAAGAGCCTTAAGATAGCTATGGGCGGCACTAGGGCGGAGCGGGGTCCACGGGGAGGGCGGCGCCCACGGGGAGGGCGGCCCGCGCGGGGGCGGGGCGAGGGCGCGCTGAGGGTGGCACGTAGGACCTGGGAGCCAGGGATGCGGGAATGGCGGAGACCTCCGCAGCTGCTTCGCGGAAAAGCCTTTCTCACCAGCAGTGATGTCACCTTGCCATTAAAAAAAAAAAAAAAAAAAAAATCACACCTGATTAAAGAAAATGTCCAGAATGTCAGGTACCCAAAAAATATGTCCATATTTGAGTAGTAGGCACACGTGGCGGTGAAGCATTGCGATGTAGCCGGTCCAAATTTAGGCGTGTTATAAATGTAAAATAAACTCAGATTACTAGATTTGGAAGACTTGGTTAAAAAAAAAAAAGTAAAATATTTGATTGAAAGAATTGGTCATATGTCAAATAAAAATAAGAGCTTTCCCATGTGCCTGTCACCTAGTTTCTGATCGGTATACCAGCCAGACTTGTAAACTCGTCCAGAATCAAAATGTAAAACACAATGCTGGGCCGGGGGGCATAGATCAGTAGGGTAAACGCTTGCCCTGGCAGGGGGAAGGGCCTAAGTTCTATCGCCTGTTCCAAAAAAGACACTGGTAGATCTAGGCTGGTCCCAAGGGAATAAGTGGAACCTGGTGAAGAGAAGTGTGAATTCTACCTGCGGTCTGCAGTCTGCGGTCTGCGTTGCCAGCAGTCATGTAAAGTGATGGCAACATTGGCGTCTCCCCTTTGTGTGCACGTGTGTGTGTGTGTGTGTGTGTGTGTGTGTGTGTTTTACTGCGCGAAATACATTCACAGACCATTTTAATTCTTATCTCGAGGCAGGAATTCATTAAGTTACGAAGTTGCCCAGGCTGGGTTCAAACTTGCAGTCCACCTCAGGCTTCCAGAATGCTGGGATTACAGATATGACACCACACCTGACTCTCCAAATTGTGTTCCAATCGGGAGGTATCTTGTTTCCTTTCTTTGTATTTCTTGCTGACATTCTGGGTTTTTTTTTTTTTTTTTTTTATTTTATTTGTTTACAGATAGCAATGAGACAGTTTCAAATCAAATCGGAAGTAAAATAAATCATTCCTCATTTGAACTACAGAGATAGGCTGATTGTCAATCGACATTATTCTATTGGTTTTTTTTTTTTTTTTTTTTAATTTCCTTGTTTTTTCTGTGTGTGTGTGTGTGCGCGCGCGCGTGCGCGCGCCGGCGCATGAGAGAGAGATTGAACCAAGGATCTCATATGTGCTAAGCAAGTGCTTTACCACTGAGTTACACTCCTAGCCTCTTAGAATATAATTTGAAAATCCCATTGATATTTTCCAATGAGTTTGAACATATGTATAGCCCATGTCACAAAATCTGTGTTCATTAAGACACAGATTATTCATAGGAGCTTGATTTGAAAATGTCTTTCAGTGAAAAAAGTCTAAATTACCCTCAAGAAAGGAAAAATTAAGTTATCCTTATTTAATGAAGTATTCTTTGGCAAAGAAAAGCAGTAATTTGCAGTTTGCTATAGTTTTCTATGGATGCCACCAACTTGGTGGCTTAAAATAATACCCTGGATTGGGGATGTGGCTCAGTGGTAGAGGATTTGCCTAGCACGTGTGGGAGGCCTTGGATTTGATCCTTGGCACTGCAAACAAAACAGCAATTTATTCAGTTTCTTTTTTTTTTTTTTTTTTTGTTGCTCGAATGCCTTCAGGGCACTTTTGGCCAGCGGGAGAGGTGTGAGGTTCAAACTCCAGCAACCTGAGGCTGACAGCTTTGTGGAAGCAGCCACTTAAAGGCCTGAGCTAGGGCCAGGCCCCCCCCTTTTTTTTTAATTTTATTTATTTGTGTGTGTGTGTGTGTGTGTGTGTGTGTGTGTGTCCAGCTCAGCCCACCAGGGGGCGGGGCTGGCTGGCATGTGGTGCTGGGGGATTGAACTGTGGTCCCTGTGCTTTGCTAAGCTTGTTTTAAGTAGGTGCTTTAGACCACTGACAGGCCCCCTTTTTTTAAGGATTTTTTTTTTCTTTTTTTTTTTTTTTCTTTTTTTTTTCACAGTTTCTATAGGCTGGAAATGTGGGCATAGTTTAGCCAAATTCTCTGCTAACGATACCAGAAGGCTAAAATTACACATTGAACAGGCTACAATCTCATCTTTTTTCCCCTCTCCCTTTTCCTTTGCTGTGCTGGATCAAATCCAGGGCTTTGCGCAAGCACCCTGACACTGAGCTACACCCCAGCCCCACATTCTAATCTTGAGGCTCAAACAATAAAGGATTTCTGTCTAATCTCCCTCAGATGGTTGGCAAAATGTATTTCTGTGTGGCTGTGGAATTCTGGGCTGTTTATTTCATCAAAGCCAGTAACAGAAGCTGGGCACGATGGGGCATGCCTTTAATCCTAGCCACTGCTTCAAGCAGGCAGGTGGGGCCAGTCTGGGCAGCAGATCCTGTCTTCAAAGGAGAAATAAAAGCTACAAACAGAGTCGCTGATCCCTGCCCCCACTTTTTTTTTTTTTTTTTTTTTTGCAAACCCGGGGATTGAATTCCGGCCCTTGCACTTGCCAAGCTCTGCCCCTACTTTTAAGGGCTCACCTCATTAGATCAGGCAGTGCCCAGGATTGTCTCTCATCTGATTGATTCAGAGTCCAGTGATTAGGGACCTTAATGTCATCTGTAAAAGTCTTCGTTTTCCCCTAGTATAAGAACTCAAAAGAAGAAATACAAATAGAAAGGTATAATAAAAGTAAAAGGAAAGCAGGAACTTGAGGACTAATTAAGAGAGTAAAAAGAGAAGAGCTAGGAAACATGACAGTGACAAGCCATACAGTTATATGTAGAAGATGGGCAAGACAACGATCCTGAGAATCTCCAGAAGATTTTTGAATCTAGCAGTTAATTGGAAAGATTCTCACCCTGACTAACTATATATACTGATACCTGTGAACTAAGCAGCTGCACTGAAGATGATAATCTCTAATAGTAGTTTCATGCTTGGAATGCCGGTCATTCTGGTCTTCTGAATACGGGCTGCTTGTCATGACATGCCAGTTGCTGCTGTGCTCTCAGGTAGATGATTGTTCAAAAAGAAGGGGGTGGTGAATGAAGGCAAGAGACAGGAAAAGGAATGTTGTGGGACTGTCCTGCTTCAAGGTTGTATATGGTTAGATTTTTGGACTTATGTGTAAACATAAGAATTATATAATTTCTTATGCCTATTTTTAAAATATATTCTAATTTTTAAATGTTTTTTATCATATTCTGTAGGGATTTAAAGTTCAACATATCAATACTTGAAAAATACCTGTTCCATGTTATGCCTAAGATGTTTGATATTCAGACAGATAGTGAGGTTAAACTTAACAGCCTAGGTTGTATGTCTTCTGGAGGGTTAACAACCTAAGTTTGCAGACCAAAATTACAGAATAAGGAGGGCCGCAAGGAAAGCCAACATTTTGGCCCTAGCCTTCCAACGTCAATTAAGACTCAGGACATATGAGAACTTGTACTGTAACATGTAACTCAGTAGTGTCCCAAATTTTCTGATCAAGGAGATTATGGGGCCAAAGAGGAAAGTGATCGATGAAGTAGAGTGTGCCTAAGGAGAGTCACATGGAGAGAAAACATTCTCTCAGGCTTTCACAGAGAGCACATTGGCCAAGCAATGGCTGTGACTCATCCACATGGCTGACACTGACAAAGGATCTACAATCTGAGGAGGTACAGGATCTCAGGATAAATCCTGAGGGGATTTCACTGACCTTATCAGACCCAAAAGCTACAACTCTTGTTGCATAGGTCCTGCTTTACCTTGGTCTTAACCATCCAGCAGAAAAGTATAAAAACGAAGTATAAGAAGTAAAGCCATGGTGTTATGTTGAGCTGTAGGGGACTCAGGTCAACAATTTCTGACATTGCCAGTCAAGCGGAAGACCCAATACTATTATGGACTACTGAACTCTTTTAGGATATTTTGCTGTGTTTACACACGTATAATATTCAAATGATGGAACTTAACAAAAAAAGGGCATACAGATGAATGTCCATTTTGTATCTGTGTATTCAAAATGGTTAGCATAGATATATAGTTGCATTTTCTTAATGCATGAGGGATTTGTTCTAAAAGTGTTTGTAAATAGGATATCATGTCTGCATCTTGTACAGCAACTGACCACTAGGAAGAGAGTATTCAATGTGTTAATTATTGAAACTGTTTGTACAGCAATTAACCACTAAGAAGAATATATGCAGTGTATTATTTCTTGAAACTGTACTTTCGATTTGATTTGAAACTGTCTCATTGCTATGTTTATCAATAAAACTTTGAAAAGAAAAAAAAAAGAAACTGTCCTACCAATTTGGTTCGAAACTGTCTCATTGCTATTTGTTTCTCAATAAAATTATGGGAAAAAAAAGTCTTCGTTGTTACCACATAGCATAACCAAACGAGTAGCACCCGTCACTTTTGTCCTACTCTCTTGATTACAAGGAAGTTGTAAAACCCACCTACACTCTGCAGGAGGAGATTATACAAAAATGCAGCGGAGGAAAATAGTCGTGGTAATCTCCCAGTTGTGCCTTTTATTCAGCTGTAAGAGATCAAATGAATAAGTTTCATAAATACAGTGTTGTTTGTAAGAAGTCAGACATAGAGCTGGGTGTGGTGGTGCACACTTGTAATTCCAGCTCTCGGGAGGCTGAGGCAAGAGGATCACCATGAGTTCGAGGCCAGGCTGGGCTGCATAATGAATTTAAGGCCAGCCTGGGCTGCCCAGTGAGACATGGTCTCAA